AGTCAGGGCCCCTCCAGGTGACCCCTGCACGGGGGTCCAGAAGGACCAGACTATGAACACTGGCTCCAGAGAGCCTGCTGTCCTCTCGCTGCCTCCCTGGGAGGCAGGCTGGCTCTCAGGCCACAGCAGCTTCACAGCCTCTATGTGAGCTATTTTGGGGCTGTTTCTCTCATCTTCAGTCCGCTCCTCCAGAGCGGGCAAGAAGCCATGCGCCCTCAAGGCAGATGGTAGGCAGGGTTGGAGCCACCCCTGCTCTGCCCTGTTATCCTATCCCCATTCCAGACAGTGCTGTCTGCAAGAACCATCGTGCCCTTACCCGGTCACAGAGATGGAGGGCAGTCAGCAGCAGGAAGGCCCCCGTTGTGGGTCTGTACAGCCGCCAGTAGGGCTTTTCCAGACTTTTAGATTTTAAAAACCTGCAGCAGGAGAGAAGAAAGCACAGAGCAGTTGCTGGGTGTGGAGGTTCAAGTTGGGCACACCTTGTCCCCCTGCGGCCTGCGTGGCATCTTCCCTCCTCGCAGCAGTTGGTGGCCATACGAGACATTTCAGACAAGCCGTGAGTACGCCCACGTGCGGGTACCACTCTGCGCTCAGCAAAGCGCAAGGCCGGCCCAGAATGCTCCATCGCCTGCACCGCGACCTAAGCCCAGCTCTGCCCCAGCTTTATGGAAGTGGTAGGTCTTGAGGCTGTGGGGATAAAGGGGAGGTGGATTAAAGGATCTAGTATGTTAAAGCCCACTCTGAAATCTGTCCTTTGCCTTGCAGTGCAGAAGTGGCTTTGAAGCTCCCTGGTATATCCTGCTCCCCACCCACATTTAGGAGTGAAATGAGACATAGGAAAGATGCAGAGGAGGGTCACAGAACCCGCTAGGAGCTGCAGTGTTTTGTGCCAGCAGCCGGTAGGAAGGTAGCAGTCCACACCGGGAAAAAATAGCATTCGAGCCCTCTTGGCCTTGGAAAGGACGCGAGCCAGAGGGGAGACGGCAGAACGAGCAGGGAGGTGCAAGCCATCTGGCACTGCATTTGCCTTCTCTGAGAGAAGGCATAACTCCGCTCTCAAGGAGACTGAAGGGTAAACGCAGCCAAAGCAGGGCACAACAGGAGCTCTTCTTCCTACACCTCTTGGGCACGTGTGGCCCACGACTGGCAGATCTTACAGTGACAGTGTCCAGCGGGCTGGTGAAAAGGATTAGAGATGCAAAGAGCAGCAGCCAGGCCAGGCAAACGGGATACTGAAGAAGTGCCTACTTTCGTGTTTGAGGGCACAAACAACCTCCCGAGTCAAGAAGGGATCTCGGGAGAGAAGGGCTGTTACAGAGCCTTCCTCCAAGGTGCTAAGCAATGGGGAACATGAAAGGTTGGTCCTGAACTAGATCAACTATCCTGGCACTTTAGCAACACTCCTTCCACACCTAAAGTTGCCACTTGCCCAGGACCTCTTTTGGATGCAGAAAGCCAAACTGTCCCACGGCTGTTGCCTCTCCAGCTCACAGATGCGGGACGTCTACCCACCACTAACATCCCACTGCAGCACCACAGAGAATTTTAACTGGCTGCATACTGATGAAGCTTACCCCCAGTCTGCTGGTGCGGACCCCCAATCTGCTGGTGCGGACCCCCAATCTGCTGGCGCGGCTAAACTGCAGTTACAAGGGGGTGAGCTGGGAGGAGAGAGCCCAGAGACAGACAGAGATGGTGCTGGCCAGAAGAAATAAGCCCGTTACAGCACACAGCCCCCAGCTCACCTGTTTTTCATGTATCTGAGGAAATCAGGGTGAATCACCAGGTATTTGTCCATCGTGAAATCTTTATCGAATCTCTCCCGGGGCCTCTGCCTAAGGACAGGAATGGGGAGGCTCAGGACGAGCTCCTATATTTCATCACAGCTGGAAAGCACCAGCCCCGATGCGCTTGGTGATAAGAGAAGAACCACAAATACTGTCAAGTTATTCTGCAACATTTCCCAGATTGTGACAAAGCCTCCATAACCTGTGTGCATTGCAAAGGAAGAGATCAGGGAGGAGAGGCAATAACAGGAGACAGGAATATCAAAAGCATGTGTGTGTATAGACAAGAATTGGTGAAATCAGGCCTTCATCCGTGAGTCGGCCACCACATACAGACTCCAGACCAGTCAACAGCATGTGTCCATCCCAGAGGACCACAAAGCTTCCTTCAGGCTCTGGCCACCCATCATTGAAATCAGCTCCTTCTGGGAAGGAGGTGTAGTGGATACAGCAGTGCTCAGAGCCGTGGAGGAAATAAGATATTTCTCCAGACAAATCTGCCAGGGGAGGGAGGCTTTAACCTGGCTTCGCCCTGGCCTGCACCTCAGCGGGGCTGAGCACTGTGGAGAGGAAAAGGGCACAACAGAGCTCCGGACTGAAGGGTGTAGCGGTGGGGCAGTTTGTTTTACCCGTAGCCGTTCAAGAATCCTTTCCTGATGTCGCTGTTGAGCAGAAGAGCCTTCAGCCACTCGTAGTCTCTGGCTCCCTCCAGGAAGTGAAGGTATCTGACATGCTAAGAAAACAAGTGAGGATTAATGAACAGCACAAGAGAGCCGCATCCTTTAAAAACAAAAAACAAGCAAGCACCTAAGCTCACTGAGTTTCTCAGACACACATCTTTGGTGCGCGGCTTTTAACTATCCCACAGAAGCAGAACGGAGATAACATCTGACGCGCAGCTACTTCCACATGCCAAAAGGCTGGGGTAGGACTGACGCAGCGTGCCGCTGCAGATGCTCACTCCGAGCCAAGCCAATGCAGGTTCCCTCGCTAAGGGTAGTGCTAAAGCGTTAGCTCAGCCCCTTGCTCCTCATGCACGGCAAGATCAGAACCGAAGGCTGCAGACTCACAGCGTCCCATCAAAGCTGTGCACGCACGCGGCATGGACCTGACTTACTCTCCCCTGTGGGATGTGGCTGAAGCCTCTGCGTCCCAGGATCTGGAGAGAGGACACCAGGGAGTAGGCTGTGAATCCATAAAAGGAGGTTTTTGTTCCCACATCTTTTTCGTAACCTTTGATAACAGCCCCGCTCACCCTGGCCAAGGAAAGCAAACAGAGGAGCAGAGTTAGCAGGTGACCACTGAAAACCCTCGCATCCATGTTTATAAACAGGAAAAGACAGCGCTAATCTGGAGGAAGGGAGGATTAGGTCCACTTTGAGCTACACCTCTTGATTTGCAGGAGAGCCCCTGCTTTGGAGACGGCTCTTCGTGGCTCATCTGTGAACCCAGGCGCTTCCTGTGTGTTTAGGAACTTTCCAGTTCCTTTTTGGTTTTTCATCTCCTCCTGCCATCAGTCATTTTGGCACTTGGGAGTCAGTGCGATACTAGAAGAGGTGAAGTTATCCAGCCGTAATTATCTAGTTGTATGTTATATGTAGTTATCTAGCCGGAATAAGCTAGCTGTGTATCTAAGAAGAAAGCCTGCCTTACCGGAAGACGTAGTCATGGGAGTCAATCTCCTGGCCCATCCCAGAGTTATTCAATATTCCTCCATTCCCCACGACAGCGCAGCTGATGCATTTCGGCATGCTGCTGTTGCTGTTGGCCAGGAGCAGCTGCTGGTGGGGATTTGGGGGCAGCAGGGACATGACCTCCGCCACCACTGTGAAGCAAACACGGTGGAGAGTTAGCAGCAAGAGCCTTTGGGATGGACACAGTGAAACCACCAGTTCCCACCACGAGATCCACCTAGCCTGATGCCTTTGACAGGGAGATGCTGCAAACCTCCAGCTACTTGGCATAAGGTTCTCGCTGGGAGTTTGATGGTCCCATCCTGACATGCCCCGAGGGACTCACGTGAATAATTCAGCTCCATGAAGCCAAACGGAGGTGCAAAATGCTCCAGGCGGTCCCACTCACTGTCATTGAAGTATCTCTTGTCTGTGAAGAGCATGATGTTGGGCAGGAAAAGATCTCGCAGCCAGTCAGACTTGGCAGCTTTGGCCCTCACTGATTCAGAGCAGGTCTTGAAAAACAAAAAGAAAACAATAAGGACTGATTAGCAGGGAGCTGATAAACCTGACTGAGTGCCAGTGCTTGTGTGCCTGTGTGTGAGTATCGGAAAGAAGCACAGGAACTCCAGCGGTACATCATCTGTTCCCCTCAGTGTCCCCATCACGGTGAAAATGAGGCATAATTTCAGCACTACATCAGTAACTCGCCGGTGGAAAGTCACCAACAAGGAAGCCAGAGCGACTCCAGGTCTCAGACGTTCCTCTTCAGAGCAACAGGCCTGCGATGCTCATGTGTTTTACTGGCTTTAGGCCTCATTACCTGATCAAATTGATATCTTTAATAGGACTAACCTAAACATGCCAAACAAGGCTACAAATCCCTGTTGGCAACGCACCTCACAAGGTCCTGGCCTCGGAGTGCACATGAGCAAACACAGCGAGGAGCACGTGAGATCAGATCACCATTATTGCTCCCTTTAAAGGTAAGAAAAAGCATGCAAACAACTTGTTCAATGTCATAAATGAGTAACAGAGAAGCGTGTGGCTGGGAAGGGAATCCAAGCCAGCTTATCCTCGCTAACAAAAGGGGTCTCATTGCAGCTGGCAAGAGTTAGGCTGTGTGTGCAGATGGAGAGCAAACAACTCCGCTGCGCTGGATTTTGCCGCTGAGTCAATTTGGGCTCTGCTTTCTTAGACACCTTCCCCAAATACCTACTGCGATACCTACTGCAAGACAAAACAGGAGACCAAGCAGACCTGCGTGCCCAGCTCAAATCCCCAGCAATGACCAGACTGCACTGCCAAAGCTGTGGGCTCCACAGCTGAGCCGGGCTCTCTGCTGCGGGTGAGGGTGACAATCCGGTCACAGGCGGAGGAGACAGCCCTCATTCTGCCTGTCACAACAGGAGTGCAACAAGACCACCATTGCGGAGGGTTTCACGTTGGCATCATTTCACTTGCAGCCCATTTCATGTCCAGAGACAGGGACACTCCCTTCCTGCTCAAGCTGTACTTTGTACAGCCCAAGGCTTGGTACTTCTTGTGCCTCCACAGCGAGACTGGATCAACACCCGAGGAACTAGAGAAAAGTCTGATCTTGTAGGAAATGAAGGAGGTGGGAGTGCTTCTAGTCACTCCCCTCTGCAGAATTAGAGATCAGGTTTGGGAGCGAGACCCAACATGTGATGTCTGGATCCACATCTTCACTAAAGACCCTTCTGCGTGCATTTTCTCCTCTTTTCCGTACTGAGGAAGGGTTTTCCCCACTGTCTCAGCTGCTCTGCACACCCAGATGCTCTGCAGCCCGACAGTGGAGGACATTCCCAGCTTCCTGCTGTGAACTGCTGTCTCACATTTCTCTGCCAGCTCCTGCTCTGCACTTCCGAGATGGCTGCACGTGGTCTGCAGCTCATCAGATGAGAAGACGGGAGCATCTGGCAGTCAACGAGCAGGATCCTGGTGACCTAACCCCACTGAGGGGGGAGGTACTGTCTCACGTGACATGTGTTGTCTTAGCCATGTATTTGGCCCACTCCCATTTGTATTCTGGGTGCCTCGAGACCATGGAGGCCAGGAAGAAGGATGCACATCCTGCACCACAGATCATGTGCCAGGCCCTTCTGCTGTGACTCACTGAGGCTGGGCCAGTGCAGGAGCTCAAGCGTTTAACAGCCAAGGTCCACATTTAATAGTCACAGATCTTGGGATAACAGAGGTATCTCTGGGGCCAGCTGCTCCTCTCAGGCAGCTCAATGCCACACTGAAGAGCACATCCCGTCAGCAAAAGAATGGCTCGCACTGCCAAAAGGGGCAATGGGGAACAACATCAAAATACCACAAGGGAGAGAACTCAAAAATAAAACATCAAAACAATAAAACTCATGCTAGGATTTTCTGTCGTCCCAGTTCATCTACCTCTGCCCTCTGCGTGTCTCCCAGGGCATCCTGGGCACCCTGGGCTTGGGGAATGGGATTAAATTTTTCAAGAGTAGCCCCTGCTCCACCAGGAGAGGTCTGAGCAGAGCGACATGGTGCCTGCAGCCCTGCCAGTGCCCTGGAGCAACATCTACATTCCCTCTAATGCCACCAAAATGACACATGGCAATGGTGGAAGACTGCGGCACTGAGACTTCAAATAGGCAAATGGCTCATCTAAGACCACCAAGCTAGAACAGGCGCTCCCATCCTCTGCTCACCTGCCTACACCCTCCCTCCTCCCTGAGCACGAGAGCCGGGTGTAAAGGCCACTTACACCCGGGTGTAAGGACCCTCCTCACTCTAGAGAGGGTTACCTGCCTGTCCGAGCCTTCCAGCAACAGGGGGGGCAGGGAAAACTGCTCTGGGTAAGCTTTACAAAAAGCTACCAGCACAAGATGGGGGACAGAGACAGTATTGTGCACCACAACCTGCCCCATCTGCTTCTGAGAACTTTGCTGTAGTTTATGCTTTTCCTAAAGGCCCTGTTCCGGGACCCAAGTAATTACGAGATGCTCAAATTTCATTTTAAATTAGTTCCAAACCCTTATAGCTACAAAGGAAAGGTCAAAAATATGGTCAGAACAAGAGTTCAGCGCAAAACAGAAAAGAAAAAGACAGGCTTTCAATTCCATGGCTTTTAAGACAACCTGATGGTGGGCACCAGACTTACAGCTTTGGAAGATCACATCAGTAATATGACCTACACAGGCAGAGGCGATCACGAGAACTACCCTACAGAACAACACTCCCAACAAACAGGATCTGTAAGAAAACTTTGATGCTGTAGCTGTGCAAGTGCTACTGCCCTGACAGGTACAACTGTATCGTTTGAGATTCTCATCTTCACCTCTACCGAAATACTTTCCCTGTGCTGACCAGGCCTATCGTTGTTCCTATTTAACAAAGAGGAACAAAGCAAGACTTGTTGAATGCCAGATTTGTTATGAATTATTTGCTCTGCTGTGATGATGGTTCAATGCATAGTAAGAAAACCCTACGTAGCAGCCCACCACGCTGGGACCATCCGAGTCGTGGAGCTCTGAATGGGTAAAGAATCTGCTTGCTCTACAGCTGTCTGCATACAGGGTGGAAAAGGTGAATTGGTGACATCTGGGAAAGACTCTCCTCTTGTTGATAATAAACCACAGGAACAGTAAAAATAGGTAATTTTTAACCATCATTTCTCCAATGAGGCACATATACACATAGTTGAATTGTTATCAATGTTGACAGAAAACCTTAAATATGGGAACGGTCCCCACCCTACTGTCTCCAAAGCAGATGGGCACATGCTTATCAATCTTCATCTAACCCTTTTTCTTTCACCTTACTTTGACTTTAATACAAGCATCTAACAAAGCCTCTGTTCCTGTGCATTGAGACCCTCCTCACCACCACAAGCATCGCTGCTGCCAAAGCGTTTGACTTGCTTTGGCACCCACGTGCTTGGGTGAACAGGCTCACGGAGGCATTCCTACTCTTGTTCCCTCACCGTGACACTGCTTGTTTTCTTTAGCTGGGCTGCATAAAACAAAGACAAAGGTAAATCTAGGGATTGTAAACCTGAGCCTACACAGGAACGCAGATGTTCAGTTTCTCAAGAGATTGGGTGAGAACTGGGACGCCTGTATGAAAACTGCCTTTTAGTGCCAGACACCTAACGCCTGCCCGCAGGCGTCACAAGACTAGGTGTGACCCAACTTACCTTAGGGTGCCACGTCACAGGGAACATATACGCTGCCTTGTGCGCCTAAGTCCCCTATGCAATACATCAAGGCATCTAAGAATGGGACCACCTTGTAACACATCTAGAAGGAGAGAGATTTTCCCCAGCTTCTGATGCACCTGAGCTCCAGAAAGGGCTGCTCGAGCTGACTTTCAAAGGAACCCATGGAAATGCATGCAATTGCAGTATGGTCCCATACCGGAGCATGGTGGAAGACTGGCCAGCCTGACCGAGTTGTACATATAGGTCTCCCTCTCTGGGTCCCAGCAGCATCTGCATATACCAGTGAGTTGACCTGCCAGCTTAGAGATCATCCTCGACTGCAAAGGGCACACATGGCCAGGGAACAGCAGACAAGGAGGTCAACAGGGAGGCATCATTCCTGGCAAACACACACAGCCATCACACCTACCGATGGTGGAGATGAGTTGTCCAGCAGGTACTGGTCCTCAAAATCCCACTGTGGCTCAGACTTGAAGTCAGCAGCCCTCAGTTTCTTCTTTTCTGTCACTGCAGCAGCCTGAGGAATAGGTCTTACCGTTGTCACTGATGCAGGAGGCTCTTTTGGTTTTGCTTGGTCTTTGGATATGCTGTTCTCATGAGCTTCCTTCACCCCAGAGGATGGTTTCACTGTTGCCTTCTCCTTGGCTCCCCCCACCCTGGGAAGTGGTTTCACTATTGTCTTTTCCTTGGCTTCTTCCACCCCCGGGGCTGGTCTTGCTGTTGTTTTCTCCTTGTTTCCCTGCACCCGAGGGGCTGTTTTCACTGTTGTCTTCTTGATTCCCTCCAACCCAGGGGATGGTTTCACATTCATGTTCTCCTTGGCTTCCTCCACCCTAGCAACTGGTTTCCTCATTTTGTTCTGCTCTTCCTTTCCTTCCCATCTTGGTGTCCTCTCAACCACATCTTGTTCAAGCCTTGTGATGTCTCTCCCCAAAGTCACCTTTAAAAAGCTCCTTGAATTCCCATTACCAGAATAGTTTAAACGCTGTTGCTCTTGGGTGTCCACTTGTACCATATCTGGGGCAGGTTGGAAAATGCTCAATTGCCTGAATGCAATCAGAGGAAAAGCAGACACATCACCACACTTTCCACTTAACACCGAACGCCTTCCAGCCCATTTCTAGTGCTCTTGTCTCTGAGCCCCTCTCTGTGCTTCAGAGCAAGCACTGCATACGACCACCACACTCAGAGGACTTGCCTTGGCAACTGCCGCCGAGTTCCTGCAGGATGCTGTGCGAATTCAATTTCAACTTTGCCACCAAAGCATTATTCAACTTCCCACAGCAGCCTGAATACCGCTCGTCTCCCCACCAAGCAAATCCCAGAGGCTACACACTCCTCTGCAGCACCTGGCTCATCCACACTGGCAGTAACTGGAAGCCAGCGCAGAACAGCTTTGCCCTGCGCTGGGCAGGACCCCTGGCAACGTCCCCAGAGTGCTGCAGGACTCTCTTGGAGATCCTGAGTTCAGGACATGGCACACACCATGAAGGCAGCCATCTGGCTCTCTTCTTTGCCAGCAGAGCCAAGTGCTTCAGCGACAGAGCATGAAGATCTTCCAGAATTCAGTAACGGAAGTCTAATAAGAAGTGAAACTCGCTTTACCACACATCACTTCTTGAGCGTTTGGGGCCACAGGGCACTTCTTCCTCTCCTCCCCCCCGTAGCCAGCTAATGCAATGGCATCACCCAGCACTCGCCAGGTACACGTCTTAAGACAGGCACTTTGAAGCTATTAAAATACACTCTGAAGCTTAAAAATGTAATATCTCTGCATTTTCAGCAATCGCCTCTAATATAGCAGCTGCCCCGTTGCCTGATGCAGAGGCACAGGCAGGTACAAGGATATCACAGGGGGATACAGCTGCCAGCAGCACAAGAGCCACCTGCGACAAGACTGGGCTGAAACCCAGCAAAAAAATCAAGGCAGAAGTGGTGGGGTTTTGTCCCAAACATTCATTCTTACCTGCACACAGCTGGAGGGTGGAACAGAAACAAGGAAGGTGAAAAATTTCTGCAGCTGAGCTTTTATGTACAGCAAAGCTTGTCAGGATAAACCAGCATAGTTGTGGCCATCTGATTTCACACTCACATTTGCCCTTTGAACGATGCATTTGTTTTGGAGAGCTGTGGATTGCTTCCAAGGTGATAAATGGGAAAAAAAGCACCTCTGCAGATAGCAGGCTGTACATAACAGTTCAATTGCTGCCAAAGCTTCGGAGTGGTATAGCATTCATTAAAGCGATAGGAAATTATCAACTAAGGAGGCTTTTAAAAACCATTTTGTATCAGATAAATACTTGAACCTTTCCAATGCTATTTCTAAGAAAAAGAGGCTGCGGTAAATGGCCTATCAGCTCTGCCTCCCCTCATAATCGTTACCCAGGTTCAACCAAGTACGCAGCAGTCGCTTCCTACCATAGCGCTTCCTGTACGAACTTGTGTTACTGTTTACTGCCTAGTAAGAGGAAAGATTTTATATATACGCTCTAAGTAAAAAAGAAATTTGGTAAGGTAGCTCAGACAGATCTTAAAACCCTGGATGATTTTCCGTTGGATTTTTAAGATACTGTTTAGAATTTTGAAATTAAAGGGCAGAGAACAGATGAAACAGGACAGTATGACAAACCACCCCCCAACCCAGACTTCCCATACTTGCTGTCTTGCAGGGCACAGATTCCACCCCAGCTCTCTCACACTTTAATTTCAAATACTGTGCCAAATACACAGAGACCAAAATGTAACAGCGAGGGCCCTTCACAGCCAAACCTCGCTCCCGGCAGCCAGACCCTCATGGCCAGGCGCTCGTGCCTACACCGGACCCTGCTCTCCTCACCAGCATTTTAAATCCAGACAACTGGTCAAAGCAGCTCATCGGATTTCAGGCTCTAGAGGCCAGCTGGCAAACAACTACAGAATCTCAATGATATTTACTGTCATTTTCCTCTCCATTTACAAAACCCTAGGACAAACAGAGGGTAAAGCCACGAAAACGCTGCTTTGTCTGTTTTACGTTGCATGTAAAGGTACGGAAATAGAACTGACAGACAGATAACCACCTACTGCTCGTGCCTAGTTGTGTTTTACTTAAGTTGCAAAAATATGGACATTTCCATTATCTGAAACTATGGCAGAATGAAACGGCTTCAGGCAACTGGGCATGGAGGGCCAGTTCTTGTCCCAGCTCCGCGGTCAAGGACAACTCACTTCACTTCTGCACACCTTTTCCTTCTCCCCACCTCCCTTGCGTGGATTCTGTCCTCTACGAACCGACAGCTGTCCTCGAGCCGTAGTCCCAAGTCCCTGGGGCCGAGCTGAACTCATGCAACCTCCAGAAGAGATGGAGGCATTCCCAGCCTCACCCGTCCCGCCTGCCCCGCCGGCATCGGCCCCGCGAGGTCCCGCCGAACGCTGGCCCCACCGAGGCACGCCAGACGGCTCACCGGGAGAGCTGGGACCACGGGAGGGCTGGTGGGAGGCCGGGGAGCGGCGCTTCCTATAGACGGCACGGGCGCCAACACGCGAGCGAGCCGCGCGCGTAGCTATAAGGGCTCGGGTATCTGCTGTGCTCAGGCAAGGAACAGTGCTCCCCGCCAACCTGCGGGGGACACTTCGCTGCAGTCTGCACTGCAATTCTCTCCACACCCATTCTGGTAGGATTTACTTGACCAGTTTTATAAAAAATAATATATATATTGATCATGTCTGCATGACATTGGTCTCCCAGTATGCAGCATATCTGTATTAGGAATTGGATGTTGAACTCGCTACAAATTCGAAGGTATCCCACCAAATTCAATGTCCAGCAATGCAGTCTGGACTAGGGCTGAATGAACGGAGCCACCAGGAAAAGCAAACACTATGTAGTGCCAAAGTATGAAAACAGGTAGCATTAGTAAAGCAAAAGCTGCTTTCTTAAACAGCCACACAAGGAAACTCTGGAAACTAGCGATCCAGCAGAAGAAAGTTTTTGACTGTGGATGTTCCAGCACCGTGCTCTGATTCTACACAATGTGGTCTGCTAAAGCAAAGTGGTCACCTAACTCCGACCAGAAGAGCAAGTTTCAGGGTAAAAAGGCACAGAGACAGAAAGCGAGCACAAGCACTCTATCCAGACAGTGCATATCACAAGGAAGCAGGTCTCTTACCTGAAAATCCTTGCCTTTGACAAGTCAAACAAGGAGCTGAAATGAGCAACAAAGATGCAAAAGTTTGTTAGAACAATGAGCCAAACGAGGGCTCTGGGAATTTTAGGAAACCTTCTCCTGAAAATCCACATGGTGAGATGCCCGGGAGCAAGGGAGGCTCTGCTGCCGCTGCCCAGAGGCGCTGGCCAGGCAGCGCACTCCCACGGTGTGCTGAAGGAGCGGGCTGGTCCTCTCTCGGGGTTTCCCCGCAGGAAGGTGTACACCCTCTCTCCCAGTATTCCCAGACACTCTGCACGCAGATGCAATTTCCTCAGAGAAGACAGCAGCTTTGCACTGTTCCCGCCTATCACCCTAAGCTTACCGCAACAGAGCGGGGAAAGAAACGCCTTTTACTGCAAACAAGGGAAGTTCCCTATATTCTCCTTAATGAGGCTGGTGCGGTGCAAGAAGGAAACCCTTCACCTCTAATCTGGTGGAAGCATCACTGGGAACATTTGTGTGAGTTATGGAAGCAGCCAAAGTTACAGGCAAAGAAATTAGCTTTCAGACCACCACTTGCTCAAGGGCTCAGGCAAGATTCTAGGCATGACCATAACCCAATCTTTATTTCCTTCTTCATGCAGCACTTGCTTGTAGCTCCAGTCCAGAAGCAATCCCTGCCCCCAAAAGCTGATGACTAGACACACATCCATTTTACCTTGTGATTGCTTTGAAACAAGTCAAAGTAAGATTCCTTGCAAATCCACTACAGAACAAAGGAGTTTGTGTTTAGAGGCAGATTAGTGCTTGGGTAAATCATTAGAGGACAGGGCTAAGAAGCAGACAGTGCCCTCCCTCTCTAAGAAAGCTGACCTGCCTTCAGGGCAACTGGAAAAACTTGAATCCTGCATTTCGCTTGTCTGAAAGGTGCCAACTCCATCACAATCTAACCCTGCTGCTGCTGACGAACTTGTTACACAGGCCTGCCCGCAGCTCGGGTTCCCAGGCTGGCTCACGCGTGTGCCGCTCCAGCTCCGGGCTGCCGGTACAGCTCGCAGCGATACCCACCCTTCAGCTGCTCTTTGCTCTCAGTCAGACTCCTCCAGCACCAGCTCTAGGACTGCTCTTTCACTTTTGGCTTCTGAACTCCTGCCCGTCACTTCACAGGGATGGCCGAGTGGCCAGGGGAGGATAGCCATGCCACTTCACCACGAAAGAGGACATGGAGGGACTTGAGCCTGTGGCTGGTTGCAGAATTTAAAAGAACTAGATCACCCTGGTGACCCCCACAGTACAGCACCTTGAAATTCAGTTGTTTTCAAGGGAGCATCTAATATATCTGAATTTTTATTCCACATAACACCAAAACATATTTCAAGTTTCCCGTATCTGTGAATCACGCCATCATGGACAGACAGACAACTGCCTTCTACACTGCTGCCCTTAGTGGGACCCTGGTCATTCGGGTTTGTACCGTACAACCAGGCTTTGCTCATCAACGGCGTCAGTTAAAACAAAGCCTCACTAATGCCACGTGCACATGAGACGCTCCAAGGGCACGGCAGCTCCTGCTGCAACCCTAGGCGTTTGCGCTACACCTGATTTGAGCCACGAGCATATTCAGACCCGGGATATGTTGCTTCCCATGGACAGGTGGCACCTGAGAACCTCTCTCCCCATCCCGAGTTCCACAATACGTATCTCGTCCTCTCCGCTTCGTGAAAATCAGCGGTCCGCCTGGAGATCAATCTTCGGCAGTCCAGAACACATCTCCCCACCAGCAGAGGGAAAGATGAGCAGAGATGAACACCGCAGCCAAAGAAACACTTACCCATACCAGAGATGTAGTTTTACAAGCTGCAGCAAAGAGCTATTTTATCTCACGGGGAGCTGTTAAATATTAACGCAGACAGTTCAAGGGGAAATGGCCACATTGCTTCTTACGACATAGGCTACTTTTGCACAGCTCTTATCAAAAATTAAGGTCAGATATAAAAAAGCTTTTGTTGACAATACCACAAATCTCAGAAGCTAGTACTCACACTGTTACTGAACACACAGGGAACTGAAGATGTTTGCTCTAAGTTACCGGAAAGCCAGTCAACAGGTTTGACACCTACCTCGTACCCTCCACGCATCCCAGCGGAACGCTGCAAGGATTCCCGGGCCCAGGCTCAGCAGCAGCTGCATTTCTTTATTGTCCGTACTTCCCAACAAGTTGCTCTCTCTGGATTTAAGTGCAAGACATTGGTTATCAGAGGACCTAGGAGAGAAAAATGAAAAAATAACACAGCTTTGAAAAGCCCTTGAAGAAACCTGAGGGAGGTGGCTAGTCCAGGGTACAACTCTGCCTCCACCTACGGCAAAACATTTCACTACCGCAGAAACCGAGCCTCGGATCAAAGGAGATCTGTTGAACAATTACAGGCACTGGGAAAGGGATCAGCCAAGGTACTGCCATGTTCCTGGGCAGTCCTCATTAGCTCCGGGCAGTTCTGGGGAGGTGGGCTACAGGCCCGGCTGTGCAGCAGGCAAGCAGCAACTCCCTGCCCAGGAGATCTCCAACAGGACACTCCTACGGGAACAGCTGCCAGTCCTGAAGCACTGACACGCAGCACGCATCGCAATGCCTGCAGTTCAGCCTTCCTCTTTCAAGCCCTACGCACCTTCAGGCATACTGCTTGGAAGAAGCTGCTTGTGTGCGACTACGGTTTTTTGGTAATAGGGTCCCAAAGGGAAATTCTGGAGGCAGCAAATATTTTCCTTCAACCTCCCCCATGTAACATGACTGCAAAACCAAGAGCCACAAGGGACAGCAAGATTCCTACAACCAGAAAAAGACAGCTTGCTTTGCTTTTAAGGAACTGTGCTGGCAATTGCGGAGAACATGTCTGTAGTACTCTGTGTTCAGGAAAGACTGCGCTTGGGGGAATATCCAGATCTCTGGCAAGCACATTGGCCAAAAGCAGGCTTGCTATGCAAAACACACAGCTTTGCACCTTGGTGTAAGAAAAGAAAACCTAAAAAACCTATCAGAGTACCGCCTTTCACTTCCTTGGAGTATTATTTCACCATCCTCCACCCCCACTGCTGAAACCAGCCCGTGGGAGCTCAGCAGCCAGGCTGGCTAGCGCGAACACGAGGTCAGACTGGGAAACGGGGATGCACTGTAACTCCTCAGGGATGGCCTGCTGAAAACGGAGGCCAAGAGCAGAGCGGCTCCCTTGTAAAGCTCTGCAAGAAGCACAATTCCTGGGATACACAGGGTTCCCAGCCCGCAGACAGGGAGGTAACAAGCAAAGACTGCACCTAACGCAGGGGCTGGCAGCCTCTCAAGGGCCACAGGCCAGGCGCCAGCCTCCTTTTCCGAGGTTTTGCACATTTCTGGCAGTCCTACCGGCAATCCCAGGCGATGCTGCTTCTCTCATGGTGCAGACTCCAAGCCCAGCACCGCTGCTCCGTGTTCGGTGTGTACAGCTACCAACATCAATGCCCACACCAGAAGTTCTTCTATTCTTTAGTGCTGTGAAAACAAGACCTTTATTTTTTTTAAACAAACTCCACCTGGGACCATCAAGTGAAGCCGGTGATCTGTCAGCCCTTTTCCATCTCTAACAGTCCATTTAATTCCACATCCACTTAACTACATCCGTACATCCTGGACAGATAAAAGGCAGATTGCCTTTCCGTTTTCTTTTATAAACAAACTTTATCTCCATTAGATCTTAAGCTGTGTGTGTTGTGGGCATCAGCTGGAGTCTGAGCTATGCCAACCATTTATCTGCATGCACGTTCTCCAGATGGTCGTGTAGCAAGTCTTGCTTACTTGCCTGTGCCCTGTGTGCTTTCCACTTTCCCATGGCTCTGGGCTAGGGAACAGGGCATCACCAGACGTGCTGTAAGGACAGAGCTGTTCGACAAACTCATCGAGCTTCACTGCAGGACAAACTTGTCTTTCAGTGACATCCACAACATACCAAAACCAGTACTTGACTGGAAGTCTGTGGAATAAGGACCTGCTAATGAAGGCGGGAACGTTTGGACCTGTTCACAGTATTACCTGACGATATAAGGACCGAGTGCTATAACTTGGAGAGAAAAAGAATGACATTGCCTGCAGCATGTGACTGCTCCGTGGTCCTGCCTGTGGGCCAGCAAGGGCTAAGCTAGCAAAGGCTGGGCTTGGAAAAGGTCGGTTCTTGTTCTCCCTCCCAGCTCAGCAGTCATCTCCAGAAGCACGTGCTTTCAGGCTGGGAATCCAGGACGGAAAGAAATTACAAGAGCAAACTCTGCACAGCTATTTGTCTTGCTTTCACCAAACAAAACTGATAGCCCAACAACTCCCAAGCCTGCCTTAATTCCACACTCGGTGACCATTTTCCAGCAAGTCCCTTCTCCTCTGCGTCAAACCTTCTCTCAAAAACACCAGACAAACACCCAGAGACAACAGCAAGCAATGCTGTTGCTGTTCCAACTCCTCTACTGCTGCACTTGCAAGAATACCCACCGTTTTGTCACAGAGCAAAGCCTCAGCAAACTGTGCCAGGAGGTGGGAACAGCTTAGTGAGCCACCTGGTCCGCGTTCTCCACGGGCTGAAATGCCCTGGGAGAGGAAGAGATGGCGGCTTCCACGGTGGAACGCTAGCGAGCGCCTCCTCAGCGTCCACACGGCAGAGCTGCAGAGAATGGAAAACTGGTTCGGTTTTTATTAGTGCTGTTTTGTCTGCTTGGTATCCAGCCCCCCCCAGCTAATGCCCCAGTACAGAAACTGCCTTGAATCTATGTTGTAACAGCAGATGATACGGGTCCAAGCTGGAGTATTTCCCCCTCTCCCACACCCCACACGGGAATGGGAACATAGCTGGCTTCTCCAGCCAGCTCCCACGCACCAGGGAAAGTCCTCGCCTGGGGCAATCACTGGGAGATGGGGTATAAATGCTCTGAATTGGGCCACATTACAGCCTCTGCAACTTGTTTTAGTTCTTGCTGCAAGCACAATGACTGCTCAGCTATGGAGCCTGCTCCCTGTGGCCGCAGCCGTAGGTGTTAACCTCTCCGTATTGAGTGAAGCAGACCAAGTCTTCCGTCACACTGCTTTGAGCTCTTCACCATTCACCCTATCCCGCTTAAGCTGCAACACTGAAATGGCTCT